TCAGGGGTCTCGCGCCTGAAACCCAGGTCGGTCTGTCAAGATACTCGGTGACTATCAAACTGTGCGACAGCTATTGTCTCGGTATCGGTGACTATCAAGTTGCACAGTGACAGCAGGTGGCATTCATTGTATATACTATCATAGGTTTCAGCTGACCTCTGTGGACACTCTGTTCAGGGGCAGCTCGGCACGATCAATATCAATGCTTCGGTTATGATGACACCAAGGTCTGGTGTGAGTGTTGATGATGATGAGGTTGATGGTGTTGGTGATGAGATTGGTGATGTCGATGATAATGAGGTTGATGGTGTTGGTGATAAGGTTGGTGGCATCAACATGAGTGTCCAGTGTGTTGACTGATGCTTGAGGTGATCCCTGGACCACAGTGGACTACTGCCTTCAGTTCTATCTTGATCTGGACTGCTAACCTGCTATGGGTGCCTTCGGACATCAGGTAGTGGTGATACAACACACACACTACGATGAGGAGCAACCTTTGATGGATTGCTGCTATGCTGACTGAAACTAATATATACTTATGCTGAAGTGATAACTAGTTATGGTGAGTAGAGTGGATGAGGATCCACTCGACCTATGATGATGAGAAAGCATGGTTATATACCTCTTCACAGCATTGCCAGCGATGCTGCTCCTGCTCTCTCTCCAGAGAGTACCTTCTTCATCGAGTGCTGTTCAGGGGCCTCTCTTGCTTGGCACCCCTGTGCCTCTTGAGCTGTGTCGACTCCTTCGACACTGCTCCTCCTCCTTGCTATCCTGCTGCTTGTTTGGCACCCCTGTGCCTCCTGAGTGGTAACCATCTGAGCTTGGTCCTCTTCGTGGCTGTGCCTGCTCCTTGAGCTTGGTCCTCCTCATGGCTGTGCCTGGCCCTCCTTGCATATGGCTCGGTCCTCCTTTGCATGTGAGTCTGTAGGAGTCCATGGTCTCCATGGAGACTGCACTACGACCATGCTCTCTACTGGTATCGACTAGATCTTCGATACCTGTGCTCCTTCCATATGAACCAGTGACCCTCCTGCTTCCTGAGCATTTAGGCCCATGACAAGAGTGTCCACAGTGATCAATCAAAACCTGCAATATCAATCAATCTATTACATATTTGGGCAAGGAAAGTCATAGAGGCCTTTCTACAACATAACTTGACAAGAATAATAATACACAGCATGTTACCACATATCTCAACAGGATCTGTAATAGACGCATTTCTATTACAGGTATCAGGTTTCAGGCACGAGACCTCTGACAAACACCACCTACAGCTGATGTCCAATGGTGTTGCAAAGCCCTGCTATTGCAATGATATGTGTCTAAGAGTTAAGTAAAGAGTAAGTAAGTATAGAGTAGAGTGGATGAGGATCCACTCATATGCTATGGTAAAGTAAGAGTATCTATGTGTTTGGAGGGTGTCGTCCATGGCACCACTCCTGCTCCTCTTGGAGGAGTGTCCCTGTCCTCCTCCTACTCCTCTTCTCCTTGTATGTTGATCTTCTCGACACTGCCTGTCAGCGGTCGTGTGCCTGGAACTCAAAAGCCACCAGTTTGGGTGATTTCAACCAGTTTCAGTGAGCATGCTTGGGTATGCACCTGTCAGCCACTTTCACTGAGACTGCTTGAAAGATTATTGGTTCAACAAGTTTCAGCTAACTGCTGTGAACACTCAGTTCAGTGGTAACATGGCACAGTCAGTTCTTGCTTGTTGCAGAACACTGAATATATGGAATGGTGATTCATTGACTCAACACAAGTGTGTCAGGGGTCTCGCGCCTGAAACCTGAGATCAGTAGTAGTATCAGTACTATCACCAATTCTGTTGAGTTATGCGACAGTGCTAATGGTATTACAATTCCTAGTGAAATATGTGACAGAACTGTCTCTGCCGCTTTTCTCATTGGAATCTGTAGTTGTATTGATGTTATGACAGATTTCGACTGACCACTGTGGACACTCTGTCCAGAGGTAGCTTGGCACGATCAAACTATGATATGACTCTAAGTGAACTTGATGTTGACACCAATGGTCTGGTGTGAGTATGGATTGATGATGCTGACACAAGTGTCCAGTGTGTCAACTAACACTTGAAGTGATCTGCAGACTGCAGTGGATGACTGCCTTCGGTTCTATCGATATCTGGACTGCTGGTTTGCTAGAACCGCCTTCGGGTGTCAGGAAATGGTGATACAACACACATGCTTCGATGAGGAGCAATCTATTGATTGCAACTTATGCTGACTGAAAACTAATGAGTACTTATGTTTCTAAAGTATTGACTAGTTGTATGGTGAGTAGAGTGGATGAGGATCCACTCAACCATTTGTGATGAGGAGGTAGGACTATATACCTCTTCACAGTGTCACCAGCGACACTGCTCCTGCTCCCTCTCTCCAGAGAGTACCCTCTTCATTGAGTACTGCACAGGGATCTCCAAGGAGGCGCCTCCTCTGCATCAAGCCTTGACCCTCCTGTCTTTCCTGAGCTGTGTCAACTTCATTGACACTGCTCCTCCTCTTCATGTCCCTTTTGCTGGTGTCCTATACACAGATCTCCTTCCTTTGACTGGTGACAGTTCTCTTCTACTCCTGTCCTGTGGGCCCCTGAGTGGTAACCAACCATGTGTCACTGAGCTCAATCCCTCTTGCATGTGAATCATTGTATGGACATCCTTACTACCGATCTCCACAGAATCTGCCACATGATCTCACTTGCTGCAGATTCTGGTGGGATTTGTGATATCGACAATGCTTGTGCCGATTTCGCTGTGGTCTGCCATACAGCTGATTCTACTGCCAATCTTGGTGAACTCTGTCGCAGCTCCTACGATCTACCCGATTCCACGATTCCTGTGCTACCTTCATATGAACTTCGGTCTTTCCTCGTTCTGCGCACCCAGGCCCATGACAAAGTGTTTGAGGTGTCAATGAGCAAGTGGCAAATCAGTGAGAGAAGCCTGGACTGCAGTATGAGTACTGCCTTTGGAGAAGTGATTATCTGGACCACAGTAACTACTGCCTACAGATGATGTCAGTGAGAGGTGTTACAACACACCTGCTTAGATTAGTAGCAATGGCCTGTGATTGCACTATGTGATGGAACAACTAAGTATACATTACAGTAGAGTATAGTTTAGTTAAGAATAGAGTGGATGCCAGATCCACTCATTCACTATGACAGAGGGGTGTATATATATCTTCATGCAATGGTGTCTACATCACTGTGGTCCCCCTCCCTTCCTTACAGGGTATGGCCTCCCCATCCATCCTGTTCTATCTGACTCCTACTACTATCCTGCCCTTCCTATCCTTACTCCCTTGCTGAGGCAATGATCCTCCTATGCTGACTTCATCATGCTCAGGGGTCTCCTCCCACCTCATCTAGTGGTGAGGTCACTTGTTCCCTGCTCTCAGTGGCTGTCCCTTTGATCTTGGTGGGATGCCCTCATCTCATTGTGGGGCTGGCTGATCTGCTTCATCTTGGGCCAGTCTCAGTGAAACTCCCCAGTACCCACCATCTCAACCATTCTTGATGAGGTTTTTCCCCCCCAGCTCACTGTCTGACCATTCTCAGTGAGATTGGTCAGAGCCCCTGGGTCTCAACCAGTTCCACTTCTGGTGCACTGAGCTCATTTTGGCAGCTGTGCAGCATGGCTGCTTATGATCTCTGCGCTGGCCCTATGACACTGCCCATCCTCCTCATGGTACCAATGCTGATCCTTTCAGCCTGGCCCCCTCTCCTCCCAATCTGTGGCCATTCCCTTGGCCCCTATCTGATGGCTCTCCTTGACCTTGTGACCATCCATATTGTTCCACTGCCATCCATGCAGTCTACCTTGTGACTGGGTTATGTGATGAAGAGCACATTCCCCCTGTGGTAACCTGCTGCTTGCTCTTGAGCTCTGTCCTTCTCTTGGCTGAGCTTGGACCTTCTCCTCACATGTGAACCCTTTCCTGTTGTCCTGACCTCCCCCTTGACAATGGAGGTCTTCCCTACCAAGTCTCCCATTGTTTCCTTGTAGTCCATTGGCTTGTTCCATACCAATGGAAGCTTCTTGCAGTGTGTTTGGTGAAATCAACCAGGTAGTTGTATTCTGATTGATTGATTTCAGCAAAATCAACCAGACAGATGTGACACAGTTGTTGTCAGGTGAAATCAACCAGAAACCCATGATCTGGTTGATTTCACAATTTTGTGTGCACAAGGCTCCTCATACCTCATTTTGGATCTTCCTGTGCAGCTTCTGTGACACCTTTGCTCCCCTTCTCCTTGAGCTGTGTGTCGAGCTCTTTGACACTGCTCCTCCTCCTCATGGTTATTCACCAGTCTCCTCGACACAGCTCTCCCTCCTCCTAACCGGTGACCATGTGCCCTCCTCGATTGCCTTTCTGGTTGTGAGCATGTCCCTCTGTGTGGTAACCAACCATGTGACACTGAGCTCAGTCTCCTTCCTTGCACACACTTGCTTCCTGTATGACTTCCTTGTCATGTAGTGTTGGGACCCTCCTTTTCTGATCCTCCCATTGCTCCCTTGTGAACAAATGACCTGTTCTGTACTGATGGGGTTTCATGCAGCACATTTGACAAAACCTACTGAGTAAGCTTGTTCTGATCAATCTTGGTGGGATCAATCAGGACTCCATGTTGCAGTTGATTCCGCAATTTACACACACCACACACCCAATCAGACCTTCAGCACCTGATGCTTGCTTCAGATCTTCTGTGCATGCCTTCTGCGCAGACCCGGTGAGAGGCTTCTCAACCAGAGGCAACAAGAACAAGGAACTGGCTTGAGTGTGGGTAATCAAGTAGTGTGTGATGTGTATCGCACGAGAAAATACCAACCAAACCTTCTCGTGCGGCTAGGCTAGTATTCGCACGAGAGAGTAGAGAGGCGTGAGAAGCTCTCTCTCTTTCTCTCTTTCTCTGATTCTCTGTACGACATTGCGCTTTGCTTGCCCACCTCGATCATCGCTGGAGCATCGCAGTGTACAATGCCGATCAACCAACCGGCGAACCAGATCAGGCTAACCAACGTCTCGGTCGTGCGGCTGCGGAAGGGTGGGAAACGGTTCGAAATCGCATGCTACAAGAACAAGGTGCGCGAATGGAGGACGGGTGTGGAAAGCGATCTGGACGAGGTGGTGCAGATCGCGAATGTCTTTCTCAATGTATCCAAGGGTCAGATTGCGCCGTCGGGTGAGTTGCAGAAGGCTTTTGGAACGGTAGAGGTGGAAAAGGTTTTGCACGAGATCCTTAGTAAGGGTGAGTTGCAGGTTGGCGAGAAGGAACGGAGGCATGAACTCGAGAATACTTGGAGGGATATTGCAACCCAGGTAGCTGCAAAGTGTGTAGAACCGCAAAGCAAGAGACCTTATACCGTGGGGATGATCGAAAAGGCGATGCATGATGTCCATTACTCGGTCAAGTCAGGCAGAAGCGCCAAGCAGCAGGTAGGTTAAACAACCAACCAACCCCCCCCCCCCCCCCCCCCCTGGCATTCCCGCAAGGCAAAAGAGATAGAGTTACTCACCATCCATGCACCCTTGCAATGCCAACACTCGAACAGGCACTCGACGTAATACGACTTTTGCAAGAAAAACAAACGATCCCCATCGAAAGAGCTCAAATGCGAATCCGTATCACCATCCCCACCCCCGCGGCCAACAAGGTCAAAGAGCGCCTGCTGGCCTTAACACAGGAGGTGGAAAGGCAAGATTGGTCGCATGAGTGGCAGATGGTTGCTTGCATCGACCCAGCGGCTTTCAAGAGTATCAATCAACTGATTCAGGGCGAAATCGTGGGCGGCGCAAGTGTCGAAACGCTCAACTCGACTGGCTAGGCGGAATGCATCCGTTTTTGTTTTCGTCGAGATTGTATGAGACAGTGTGTGAGTGTGTGTGTGAGAGTGTGTTAAAAGACGCAGAGGGGAGAGGGGAGAGGGGAGAGGGCTGAGGACGACTCACTTATCAAAGTGAAGCGTCCAGGAAGCAAGCAACTTCCTAGCATGCACCTCTGCATTGGTCAAGCCTGGAGTACCATAAGTAAGCGGACTGAGCCACCAAAAGACGGCAAGCAAAGCAGCGAGAACGACTGCGATCACCACCCTCGCCTGCTTGGGCACAAGGTTGTCCATGCTCGGCCTCAAATCCCTCAGCCTCAACAAGGGTCCTGGGTGCGAGATGGGCGACTGGATCGTTTCGCTAGCGACAAAGTTGAACACACCACCAGCGACCAAGCAGGCGCAAACGTGGGCTGGCAGGTAGTGGTGGATGAAGAGTTGGCGGGACATGAGGAAAAAAGGAATGTAGTGGCACGTCCAAGCAAGGACAAAGAAGCCGGTCGAGCGATGCAACCTCTTCCTCACTGCGGTAGCGATAGGATAGACACCACGACGGCGAGCGAGCAAATCGGCAGCAACAAGACCGACAAAGACGGAAACGCCAAGTACGCTACCCCACCAACTGACGAGGTTGCCGATCATGTAGATCTGCTGCTGGCCTTGGTCCTGCGTCCAGAAGGAGATGCCTTGCAGCAGGAAGGGCCAGTTGATCGGTCCGCTGGCATAAGGATGGCTTTGCGTTAGGCCGGCGTTCTGTTGCAACATCTGCAGCTGAAGCTCGAGCCACTTTTTCATGAAGCTCATCCGCATCACTTTGCGAGCAGGTAAGGGCTTCAGACGCTCTTCGTAGTCTGGGCTTTGCGTGCTGGGAGCCAGATGGTCGACGTACCAGAGACACGTTCTGTCGACAGCGTTCTTGTTACCGTTGACCTCCTGCTGGTTGAAGGCCCAGTCGGGCAGAGCTTCGGCGTGCGTCCACATGCAGACGCGAGTGTTTTTGTGCACCAGACGGAACCAGGAAGCTTTGCTCTTGAGGATTTTCTTAGGAGCCTCTTGGTCGAGCAGGAGCTCAAAGAGCGTCTCGTCGTAGCGAGAGGTCTCGTTGGCAGCAGTCGTCGTGAACTCTTGGTTGGTGGGCATGAGTGGAGAAGCAACGTCGTGCGTCAAAAGGTAGGAGTTGGTGTTGATGTGAAGCAGACGGACGAGGTCCTTGTTGTGCACCAAGCGGCCTTGCACCTCGTCCTGTGGGATGGGCTTGGTGGGCACAATCTGCCAGAGGTTGTTGGTATCGTTGTGCGGGTAGGCGGTCACCTGCTGGCCTTGACTCGAGATACGGCCGTCGTCGTACTTGAGTGGGTAAGGGTGGGCGTGGGAATGGAGAAAAGCTTTGGTGTTCTTGTGTGCGATGGTGATCTGGTCGTAGTACTGAAGCTCGCGTGCGCTGCTGAGCATAGGGTTGCCTTGCAACGTTTGCTGGAACTGCGAGCTCATGAAAGCATCGCCAGGTCCACTCTTGATGAGGATGGCAAAGTGCACCCAGAACCAGAAGAGATAGATGGCAAAGGGAAGCACGATAAGGCTCAAGACCCTTGCAAGAAAATGACGAGCGACCTGCTCCATCTCGAGTCCACGTCGAATGTCCAACAACCTCCAAAGATCCCAAGCGACCGCAGCGCCGATGGTGATAAAGGTGAAGAGGCCGACCATCTTGCAACTCATCGTCATTGCGAGACTAAGACCGGTAGCAATGAGCCAGGACCACCATTTGGCACCAAACTCGTTGTAGCGCAGCTTGTAGAAGCGAATGTAGCAGTACATGCTGAGCATCATAAACAGGATCAGAGGAGCGTCGAGGAGGATGAGACGATCCTGTGCAATATGAGCGTTGTCGAAGAGCAAGAGAGCAGCGCTCAAGACGCCAATGAGGGGAGCATATCCACTCTCCCTCATGATCGCGTAGATCAGCGGCACCTGCAGACTGCCGATGATCGCGGGGAGAGCGCGCATGCGCATGTAAGGAACCTTGTTATCCACGTACTTGTCTCCGATCTGGTCGAATTCGAAGCTGCCATCGAAACCAGCCATGTAGCCGGCAAAGGCATTCATGAGTTTTGCCAGAGGAGGGTGGACGTCAAAGTAGAATTCACGACGAAGGTAGTAGGCTGCAAACTTGCCGAAATGCACCTCATCGAACACCACCTCGTCCGGAAAGGAGATTTTGTAGAAGCGCAGGCAAGCAGCGAAGATCAAGAGCGAGATTGTGATCATCCTGTCTGCTGGATGAGAGTGCATCTTGGGATCCAAGGCTTTCGGTGTCGATCCATACTTGGAGTCCAGCTTTTTGTTTTCGTTGTGGTGCATCGTCTTGCCTGCTTGATCCTCACTGCCGCGATACCGGAGCGACTGACCTCGTGAAGCGTCCATTGCGAGGGGACGAGCAGGGAGAAGAAGGAGCAGAAGAGATGATGATCGTGATGATGGCAGAACGACAAGAAACCAATCGCAGTTGATCGCGAATTTACCTGGAAATCGGGAGCCGGAGATCGGGAGTCGGGAGTCGGGAGTCGGAAATTGAAATTAAAAAAAAATCGAAAATGAAAAAATCGAAAAAAAAATAAAATAATAATTCAAAATTCGGATCTCGGATCTCGGATTCCGGATGGAAGTTTTGTGGCGGTGCACCGACCAAGTTGTCCTTCCTCCTCCTCCTCCTCCTCTTTCCTCCTTCCTCCTTCCTCCTTCCTCCCCTTTTCATCTCGCCAGACCTGATATGGACATCGACAGTGCCGCTGCATCCTCGGGAGTCACAATGGAAGATCTGCTTTCGGCAGGATCAAAGGCATACTCTGCTACCGATGCTACTCCCGATGCTGCTCTCTCAGCACAACTCGAGCGGCGCAAACTTGCTCGCAGTCTCGCTATTCCCACTTCCGATGCAAAAGTCAGGCTAGGTCTTCGAGAGCTGGGAGAAGCGACAAGATGTTTTGGAGAAGGCGAGATGGATCGTCGCGAGCGTTTGCGGCAGCTGCTCGCCCAACGCTTGCAGGAGACAGGACAACAACTGGCAGGTGCATCCCAAGCATCTCCTCCCCATAGCGACGACGGCGACGAAGACGACAGCAGTGACGAGCAGGAGCAAGAATTCTACACAGAAGGACCGCCTGCGCTTCTCGAAGCAAGACGGAGGATAGCATGCTTCTCTCTGCAACGCTCCAAACTGCGTCTCGCTATGCAACGCAAAGATGCTAAAGTGCCACTGGCATCGATGGTCAAGCTACGCAACCAAGTTTTCCAACCCATCAAGACATATGCCAATCTCGGATCGCAGCTTTGCGACGATCGACCGGTCTCGATGATCCGCTTCTCACCCAACTCGCAACTCTTAGCAACGGCAAGTTGGTCCGGCAGCATCAAACTCTGGGAGGTGCCGAGTGCCACTCACAAAGCCACCTATCGAGCACAGAGGGACAAGGTCGGTGGGCTGGCTTGGCATCCGCGTGCGACGCTTTCACACGATCCTGCTGCAGTCAACTTGGTTTCCGGTGCAGGCGATGCCTCTGTCTGCCTATGGAGTCTACAGAGTCACCGTCCACTGGCAAGCATGGAGGGACATGAAGCGAGAGTTGCAAAAACAGCTTTCCATCCCAGCGGTGATTACGTCGCAAGTGCATCCTTCGACGGCACATGGAGGCTCTGGCATCTTTCCACTACACAATGCTTGGCCGTGCAGGAGGGGCATAGCAAACCAGTCTACTCGGTTGAGTTTCAGGATGATGGAGCCTTGGTGGCAAGTGGTGGTTTGGATGCCATAGCAAGGGTGTGGGATATGCGAACCGGTAGGACGGCCATGGTGTTGGATGGACATGCCAAAGAAATCCTATCCATCGATTTTGCGCCTAATGGTTACCAGATCGCCACCGCTAGCGGCGACGATACTGTGAGGATATGGGATATGCGTACTCTCAAATCCATCTACACCATCCCAGCGCACAACTCGAGCGTTTCCGACGTTCGCTTTTTCCGTTCTCTCAGCCACCGCAAACATCCTTTCGCCGAAAGTAACGCAGAAGAAGAAGAACAACAACAACAACAACAACAACAACAACAACAACAACAACAGGAGCATGCAATCAGCAGCAATGGTCTCTACCTCGCCACCTCTGGCTACGATGGAATGGTCCGCGTTTGGTCCGCCGACGACTGGCAACTGCTAACCACGCTCAGCAGCGATACGGGTAGGGTGATGAGTGTCGATATAAGCAGCAATGGAGAGATGCTTGCCAGTAGCGAATCAACTCGCACTTTCAAACTCTGGGGGTCGCTGTAAGCATCCAAACGGACCAAAGCCACCTTTGGGCAGTCGGGTGGCAAGAGAACAGAGAAATAAGACTATCGGCCTCCCTAATGACTGCCACCGCTGTAGTAGGGTCGGTGGGAAGCCTGCTGGAACGAGGGAGGATAGCATTCCTTCTGGCTCCCACCCTCGTCCTTGTAGGCACTGCTCATGTTCTGCTTCCATCCTTGGCCGCATGTAGGGTCTCCTGGGTAGCCGTAGTTGTAGCCGTGCCACTGTCCCTGATGATGATGCGGAGGCAGTGGTGGCGCCATGCATTGCCCCGATGGGTACTGCAGTGGAGGCAGGGTCTCAGTACTCCGCTGTCTCTGCAGGGCAGGCCAGGTGTTCTGCATTGCAGGTGCAACAGATTGATGCTGGTCCCATTGTGGCAATCCATGCCCATTGCTGATACTTGGCAGTGCCGTGTTGCCAGAAGTGCCGTTCTCGACGGGATCGAACCATGGCACGTTGTTAGTCCAATCAGTCGTCGACATCGGACCAAAAAGATCGAACATGGGAATATCAAACATACCTCCATTCCCACCAGCAGCGAGAGTAGCATTCCCCTGTTGCGGTAATCCTGAACCCAAACTACCACACTCGAGCTTCTGAGAAAAGCTTTGCGCTTGGTCTACACTAGCATCGTTGAGGTTGCTCCCATTGCCACTGTTGATGCTGCTTGCCGTGTTGACACTGGCCTTGGCAAGATCGTTGGACATGTCTGGCAACTCAGGCGATCGTTTGCCTACATTGGCAGATGTGGCGAGCCGACTTTTGAAATGCCATGGTACTGCTCTGTGCAAGGAGGATGCAAGCTTCCACTTCTGCATAACTTGCACCATCTCTTCAATAAACATGACACCAATCTGACAGATACTTCGTCCTGGCATAACATCCTCCTTCCACTCGGCCAGATGCGGAGCGAGACTAGGTAAGCGTCTCGAAGCAGGCTTAGATCGGATGGGAGGCAAGTACTCGTTGCGATCCCACTCTTCCAGTCGATGGAGTGTGTGGATCATCATGACCAGGTGCATATCCACCGTGAGGGGAAGATGGTCAAAGCCGTAGAGCGAGCATGCCGTCTTCTCGAGGAATGTCTTGCAACCATCAGTGGCGAATGCAGTGGTGAGCAGCATTGGTGCACCTGTTGCTTCCATCCAGAGAGATCCACGCTGCACGTTGCAAGCTGAGCCACCTTTGGTCAGGATATCCGGTTGTGAATAGCCGAGTCCACGATCAAAGAGGTGGAAGGTGCTAAGCATGTTGTGCGTCTCGGCATCCCTTCTTTCCGAGATCGTTGTGGACTGGTTACGGAAGCTGATATCCAAGCGAAGCGCCTCCACCATCTCGTTGGCGGAAAAGCCACGGTTCAGCTCGCCAGTCATAAAGGCACAGATAGCGAGACAGGGCAAGAGCTCTTGGAGCGAATAAGACTCGATCGTCGCCCAGTCTTCCAGCAGAAGCGCGGGACGGACACTTGCAAATACACTGAAAGCTTGTGACTTTGCGCTTTGCCAAAACAGCTGCTGATGCGACGAGTTGCTAAGCAGCTCCAGCATCTCCTTTCGAGTCTGCTCTGTCGTAGGCGTCGCAGCTTCGGGCACGCTCTGCGGCGGCTTGCTTGCGTTGGCAAGGATACGATACATTCCAGCAATAGTGTCCATGAAGCGAGCCATGGCTTTGAATCGATAGACAAGACCAGTACGGCCTGCTGAACGAAGAATGCTGTCTTCGTCTAGACCAGGGAAACGCTTCTCGGTGGACTGGAAAGGATCGCGCTCTCTGCGCTCGATCTTGCGACCTTGATTATCGATGGCAACCATGAGATCTGCTTTGGTCGTCATGTCAGCCAGTTCCATGGGACGCAGGGTGGAGTTGACAAAGGAGAAATGTCCTTGCCAGATGCGCAGACTGAGCCAGATCGAGGCGCCTGCGAGATGCTTGGCGAGAGAGTTGCGCCTCTCCTGCGCCTCTGCAGGATCGCTGGGAATGGGACGACGACAGAGATCCATGACACTGTCGATTGCCTTGTCCAGATCAAGACGGCGTGCAATGGTAAGAGCAGCTGCTAGAAGCGCTTCGCCAAGCAAGCCGTTACCGCGCTCTGCCTGTGCAGAGCCAGCCAGGCTGGTTCCTACGAGCGAAGGCTCGTGTGCCAAGAGAAGCTCGAGTGCCTGCACAGTGTACATGTCCCTTGGCGTCGAGAGCAAGATCTGACTACCAAGCTGATCCACCAAGGTGGAAAGCTTGGTAGGCAACGGGTCGGTGAGAGGCATTGCATGACGACAAGCGACAAGAGACATGGAGCTGAGCAAAAGTGCGCTCGACACGCTGGGCCTGTTGCAATGCTCAGCATACATCTCATCCAGGCCGGGAAGATGCGGATGCCATAGAAGATACGGTTTGAGCAAAGGCTTGAGATAGGCGAGAGTATGACGCGGGATGAGATCGAGAATGTCGAGATCGCCCAAGTCGCGATCGATACGCAGGACAAGGTAGGAGGTGAAGCTCGGTTGTTGTGCAGCATAGTCGATCAGAACAGACAAGGGTCTCCAAAGCGAAGTCCACGTACGCCCAGGCGGTTGGAGGGTGCAATATGCAGCCAAAGTGGCAGAGTTGCCCGCTTTTAAAAGATCCGAGCGAGAGCTTGAATGAGAGTTGCGATGAGCCGAGGCATGGCATGGATCGGGTGGCGGAGATGCACCTGAAAGCGAAAGGCGTCTAGATAGATGATCTACAACCGGATTGAAGAACTGTACGGATGCCAGCGACGAGGCTGCTTCCCTCGAGCTGCTAGCCTGCCTCGAGGATGCGCGATGAGGCGGCAGGTGCGGTGCATCATCGTAAGTCGTTCGCTGATCGCATACACGAGCAGCAGCTGCGAGCTCTTCCAGAGAAGCGGGACTGCGAGGTAAAGCGCCGGGCTCTGGCTTGACGAAAGGAGGCAAGCATGTCGATGTCGATGCCGATACAGATGCGGATGCGGATGCGGATGCGACACTTGCAGCAGCAGAGGATACCTTTGGTCTGCGTTTGCGATCGCCATCCCATACTACGCAGTCGAGCGAGAGGACGTTGCATCGATGGCAAGCTAGCTGGCTGGAGAGCGGTGTCATGGAAGAAGGAGTGGCGAGACTGTGTTCAGGTAACTCGCACCTCGCCTTCTTCTCTCGACATTTGAGACAACTTCGTTTGGCATATGCTCTGCGTCTTGCCGTCGGCTTGCTCGGAGGTCTCTCCTCCTTCGCTGGCTGAGATGGTGTGCGCCTGTCGGCAGGCATGATGGTGGCCGCCGTGATCCGTGTCTCGGCCTAGACGCTGACCAAAGTCCGTTACTCCTTTACTCGCCACTCCGCTTCTTGATTGCTTCCAGCTTGGGCGAGTGGCAAAGCATGATGGTAGCAAAGAGCAAACCAACACACCTCCATATTTGCGGCGACAAGAACGGCTATTGCCACCCAAACCCGAGTCACTCACATACGGCCGATAAGAGATGCAATCTAACAGCAACTATCTTGCTTTCCTCTTGCCCCCCTTGTGCAGCCAAGTGGCAGGCTTTGCACCTCATCCTCAGAGCAAGAGGCCAACAGCAGCTCAGCAATATCAGCAGCATGCTCATATCCACTGCCCAACATGGGTCCAGCAATGCAGCCTTGCATAGTCTCTGCAGCAGTGATGCAGTGCTCAACATGATAGATGTTGACCACAATAGCCTGTAAGGCTCTGGATGCAGTTCTTGAGATATGCAAGCTCTTGTTGCACTCATACTTGCCTCTCAAGAGAGTCTGTAGTTCAAGTGTCAAAGATCTCAACTCTTGTCAATGGCAATGTGAGAGAATGGTGCTTCTGTCAATCCAGATCAACTCTCCTTCATTGAGGTACAGGCAAGGCTTCTTGTGCATGTTGCTGCCTGAGGCCCAAACTTTGCAATCCTGAACACTGCCATGCTGGCCAACAACTGATTAGCAAAAAGTCTTATGAGGAGGAGTGCAGCAAATCGAGCATCAGGCAAATCAAGGGGTTGACAACAGAGCTCATCAAGATCTGTAGTAGAGAGGCTCTATGACAGATCTCACCCAGATCAGCATGAGCAAGGATTGTATCACAAATTCCACCAGGATCCATAATATCATGATTGTATGATGGATCTCACATGGGTGCCAATTTCACAGACATCTCAGCAGGACAAGATGGTGAGAACATTGGGTTGGCCACCCTGATGAAGCAGGGGGCCAACTCAATGATGGACAAGGAGCAGGAGAAAGGACAAGGAGCAGCACTGAAGAGCAACTTCACAGAGTAGTCAGGATGGCTAGGAGGAATGCAAGGAGGAGGGACAGTGTCAGAGAGGACCCCCTGGAGCAGTAGCAGTGTTGCAGGCAACACTGGGGGACATGTCTATATATATATATGACTATGCTTCTCATCATAATAGTCAAGTGGAGATCAATCCACTCTACACCATACATTACTAGTTATAGCTTTCACATAAGTATACATTATTATTCCATTGACAGTTGCAATTGCAGAGCATTGCTTCTATGTAGCACATGTGTTGTATCACTGCTCATCGACATCATCCAAAGGCAGTTCATTCTGTGGTCCAGATATCGATTGACACCAAAGGCAGTTCATACTGCAGTCCAGCTCTCTTGATCATTAGAACCAAAGGCAGTCATCCACTGCAGTCCAAGGATCACCTCCCATTCTATCAACACACTGGACACTCGTGTTAAAGCAACCTCATTGGCACCAGACCTTGGTGTCATCTCTCAGCATCTATTGGTTAATTGATTGTGCTGAGCTACCTCTGAGCACAGTGTCCCCAGTGGTCAGTCAAAATCTGCAATAGCAATCAATCTATCACATATTTGAGTGAGAAAAGTCATAGACAACTTCTACAACAGATTTCAGCAAGGATAAATATAAAGGCCTTTTACCACAGATCTCAATAAGATCTGTAATAGACACATTTCTACTACAGATATCAGGTTTCAGGTGTGAGACCCCTGACACAAGTCTCGCAGGATCACCAGCGCTACATTGATGCTGTGAAAGCCTTTTTGTAAGTGGTTGTGTTCCTGCAACCCGAAATCTATGGCAAAGGTCAATTAGGATCGGTCTCAGTGAAATCTCTTGTATGAGCTCTTTACAATCGGTTTTGCTGGAATAGATTGTAAAGCTGTTTACAAACAAATTCCAACTAACTGCCATGAACACTTCATCCAGTGATAGTGCAGCACAATCAAGGTCCTAAGTGACTTGCTGAAGCTATACAAGTGTATAGTATGATGGTGTTGTCATAGGACCAGATGCACAGGAAGTTCTGGAATAGAATGAGGAGAGACCATGGGCAGTAATCGTGGGATCGGGCCAAGGGAAGAATTCTGGCAGAGTTCACCAAGATTGGTAGTATCAAGATCTTACAACAGAAGTCATCAGGATTGGTACAAATGGGATGTTACAGCAAAGTCCACTGGGATCAGTATTAGATTGCCCATATGACAGCTCTTACCAGAAATGGCTGGAGGAAGCATCTCCCACAGATCTCATAAAGGTGGCATGAAGTACAATGGGTTTGACACCCTGATGAAGCAGGGGCCAGGCACGATAATGAACTTGGCCCAAAAGAATGGGTGCCAGCACCTGAAGTCAGATGAACAAGGGTTGCCTTGCCACTCAGATGAAGTGGGTGCAACCCCTATCAAGTAGGAGGCAGCACAAGAACTCATCCACAGGGAGCAGGAGAAACTGTGCTGACAAAAGAGAGACCTTGCCAGAGAATCAGGAGAATGAGGAGCAGGGTAGGAGGAGACCACATAGGGTGAGGGCAGTGTTGCTGGTGACACTGCAAGGACATCTATATAACACACACTTGCTCTTCATCATAGTAGTTGAGTGGATCCTCATCCACTCTACACCTTACATTACTAGCTATCACTTTCACATAAGTATACTTAGTATTCCATCAAACAGTTGCAATTGCAGAGCATTGTGTCAGGGGTCTCGCGCCTGAAACCCAGGTCGGTCTGTCGAGATACTCAGTGACTATCAAACTGTGCAACAGCTATTGTCTCAGTATTGGTGACTATCAAGTTGTGCAGTGACAGCAGGTGGCATTTGTTGTATATACTATCGTAGGTTTCGGCTGACCTCTGTGGACACTCCATTCAGGGGTAGCTCAGCATGATCAATATCAATGCTTCGGTTATGATGACACCAAGGTCTGGTGTGAGTGTTGATGATGATGAGGTTGATGTCATTGGTGATAAGGTTGGTGAGTGTTGATGATGATGAGGTTGATGGTGTTGGTGATAAGGTTGGTGGCGTCAACACGAGTGTCCAGTGTGTTGACTTTGACGCTTGAAGTGATCCCCGGACCGCAGTGGACTACTGCCTTTGGTTCTATCTATATCCGGACCGCTAACCTGCTATGGGCGCCTTCGGACATCAGGTAGTGGTGATACAACACACACACTACGATGAGGAGCAACCTTGATAGATTGCTGCTATGCTGACTGTAACTAATGAGTACTTGTGTTTCTAAAGTATTGACTAGTTGTATGGTGAGTAGAGTGGATGAGGATCCACTCAACCTATGATGATGAGAAAGCATGGTTATATACCTCTTCACAGCATCACCAGTGATGCTGCTCCTGCTCTCTCTCCAGAGAGTACCTTCTTCATCGAGTACTGCTCAGGGGCCTCTCCTGCTTGGCACCCCTGTGCCTCTTGAGTGGTGTCGACTCCTTCAACACTGCTCCTCCTCCTCATGACCTGGTGACGACTCCTTCGACACTGCTCCTCTTCCTCAGGACCTGCCTGCTAGTGTCCTATACACTGCTCCTTCTCCTTTGACTGGTGACAGTTCCTTTGACTCTTGTCTCTCGAGCCCCTGAGTGGTAACCATCTGAGCTTGGTCCTCTTCGTGGCTGTGCCTGCTCCTTGAGCTTGGTCCTCCTTGTGGCTGTGCCTGGCCCTCCTCGCATGTGGCTCGGTTCTCCTTTGCATGTGAGTCCATAGGAGTCCATGGTCTCCATGGAGACTGCACTACGACCATGCTCTCTACTGGTATTGACTAGGTCTTCGATACCTGTGCTCCTTCCATATGAACCAGTGACCCTCCTGCTTCTTGAGCATCCAGGCCCATGACACATTGCTTCTATTGTAGCACATGTGTTGTATCACCGCTTCTTGACACCATCTGTAGGCAGTACATACTGTGGTCCGGCTCTCTCGATCTCCTACCAAAGACAGTCATCCACTGTGGTCTGGGGATCACTCAGTCACTCAGTCAACACACTGGACACTTGTGTCAGTGTCAACAACATCACTCACACCAGACCTTGGTGTCATCACAATACATCTATCATTATTGACCATGCCAAGCTACATCTGGATGGAGTGTCCACAGCAGTCAGTCAAAACCTGCAATAGCAATCAATCTATCACATATTTGAGTGAGAAAAGTCATAGAGGCCTTCTACAACAGAACTTGACAAGGATAGTAATACACAGCATTTTACCACATATCTCAACAGGATCTGTAATAGACATGTTCCTACTACAGATATCAGGTTTCGGGCGCGTGACCCCTGACAACTGAACCTGTGAGGTGGTTGCTCCAATGACGAGCAAGTCATCAATGTAGACTGCCAGTAGTACCATTGTGTCACTAGAACCTTGTGTATATACACATGGCTCTGTTTGGCAGTGCTTGAAACCAAAGACTTGCAGCTGCTTGTCAAGTGTTGCATGCCACAAGCATCCTGCTTGTTTGAGGCCATATAGTGCCTTTTTTAGCTTGTAACACTTACCATTGTTCTCCTTTGTTTCAAATGTTGGGGGTATCCAGACATGAACATCCTTGTCAATCTTCCCATTCAGGAATGCAGTGCTGATGTCAAGCTGACTAACATATAGTCTGTATTGGCAAGTGAGGGCAAGCAGCACTCAGTTGGTTTGTAAGCAAACAACAGGGCTAAAGGTCTGGTTGTAGTTCAGACCTTGGCATTGGGCATACCCTTGTATGACCAGCCAAGCTTTGTATTGTGTTGCTCATCGTTGTGTGTTGAGCTTGGGCTTGAATACCCAGCAAACACCAATAAGCTTGCCATCTGGCAAGATGTCTGCTAGTTTGAAAACATCCATTTTGTTCATACTTGTCATTTCATTGATCATTGCCTCTTGCCACTTGCCCCAGTGATTGCACAACTTAGTTCATTGAGTGAAAATGGTTCCAGTAAGATTCCATCAGCACTGTGCAGTTGTTGACCACTGGCAACAAGTGCAGTCCCATTCATCACCATTGCTGTGAATGCCATGTGGTTGAGGTGATGATTGCCAAGTGTTATTGCTTGAGTTTCAGAACATGTTGCTGCAAAGGCTGTATAGCTAGGCAGGTCCAGTGGGTCTGGTGATTCTGTGCAATCAGATTCAAGCACAGAGACACTGTCATATATACTTGGTATTGTGTCACTGCAAGGTGTTTGGAGTAGAGGCATATCTCCAGGATCCATGATCTGTGTTGGGACCTGTAACATGTTTCCCCCCTTGGTCAGAGCAGTGTCTAGCTCAGCGCCTAAGTCAGGGGCAATCATGTCAAGGTCTACCACAACCTCTCCTGCCACTTCAATCTCTGCCATCATGCAGTCCTACTCTTGATTGTAACTGGACAAATTGGACAAAGTTGGTCAGGAGGTGGACCCTCACTGGCGAGAGTAGGGCATCAATGAAGGTGGTACATCATCATTGAGTCCCATCTTGGCAGAGTTGTCATCTTGCAGGAGCCAAGTGTAGGAGCAGAGGAGCTCGTTATCCCCAGCGAGGACAGGCAGGTGGGAAGGGGCAGTGCAGGACTCCAGTTGCTTGAGTTCAGAGAATCAAACATCCTTTGTGACAACAATGCAGTCAAGTTCCAGAAGCCATACCCAGTAGCCCTTGACAGCACATGGTGCATCAGAGAATCCTATGTATGTTCCATGGAGGGTGCATGGTCAAAGGTGCTTGCTGACTACTGGGTGGGTGCTGAGCCATGTCAATTGAGTGTTGCCCCTGAGTATGACATAGGCAACACAACCGAAAGCATTGTAGTTGGTGCATTTCATGGTGTTTCCTGTAGAAGAGCTCAAAGGGTGTGATGTGTCCATGAGTGGTGCCTGCTAGTCAATTGTGAATGAAGGCAGCCTGTGATACAGCATATGGCCACAAGCATTTGTTGAGGCTCACATCATAAAGGATGCTCTGGGAAATCTTCTGAATGGTCTGGATTGCCCTTTTAGCAAATGCATTGTCCAAATGTTGTTGAGTTGGCAATGTGGTGACTTTCACACCTGTTGATGAGCATAGGTTGCAGAAGGCATTAGACCACAACTCACCTTGGTCAATGTGGAACTCTTTGAGTCCCCAGTCAAAGATCACCTTGTCAGAGGTCTCGTGCCTAAACCTGATATCTGTAATAGAAATGTGTCTATTACAAATCCTGTCGAGATATGTGACAATGTGTCAGGGGTCACGTGCCCAAAACCTGATATCTGTAATAGAACTGCATCTATTACAAATTCCATCAAGATATGTGACAACACTTGTGGTATTATGATTCTTGGCAAGATATGTAATAGCAATGTTGCTATCACTTTTCTTGCTCAAAGATGCAGTAATGGCTTTGCTATTGCAGGTTTTGACTAACTGCTGTGGATACTCCATCCAGAGGTAGCTCAGCACAATCAATAACTTGAATGTATTGCCCAACACCAAAGGTCTGGTGTGAGTGAGAGGACTGGTAGTGCTGACATGAGTGTCCAGTGTGTCGACTGAATGCTTGAGGTGATCCCCAGACTGCAGGGGACAACTGCCTTTGGTTCTATTGTTATCTGGACTGCAGGTTTCTATGAACTGCCTTTGGACATCAGTGAGCAGTGATACAACACACATGCTATGATGGATGCAATCTTATTGAGATTGCAACATGCTGACTGAATACTAATGTATACTTATGTGTAAAGCTATAACTAGTAGTGTATGGTGTAGAGTGGATGAGAATCCACTCGATTGCTATGACAAGGAGCATGGTTATATACCCATTCTTGCAATGTTGCCTGTGACACTGCTCCTTCCCTGGGAGGCCTCTTCAACACTGCTCCTCCTCTTCATCCTTCCTATCCTTCCTAGCTGTCCTGGCTACTCTGTGAGGTCTGTCAGCAGACAGGTGGGCCTCTGGCTATCTCATCCTTCCTAGGGGTCAGTCCCACTTCATCTGAGTGATGACTCGCACCCCCTTTCATTGTCCTCTCATCCATGACACCCACCTGTTGGCACTGACTTCATCATTGTGCCAGTCCCCTGTTTCATCTGGTGGTGTCTTCACCTTGTATGGTGTCTTCTCCTTGTTGTATCAGTGATGAGGTACCTTTGCTGATTGATTCTTGTGAGATCTGTTGTACTCCACATAATATTATGTTTCCTACTGAAACCTGTAGTAGCAACTTCGTTCCTACAGATCCTGGTGAGTTATGCCATAGGATTGTTTCTACTACCAATCTCAGTGAACTCTTCCTTAAGCCCTCGTTTAGCCTGAGCCTGTGATTCCTGCACTCCTTCATATGACTTCCACTTCTTCCTGCCTCCTGCGCATCCGGCTCCTATGACACAATGCTTGATGTATTACTGTTCTTGTTGAGATATGTAGTAGAGATGTCTCTATCACTTTTCTCACTCAAAGATGCAGTAATGGCTTTGCTATTGCAGGTTTCAACTAACTGCTGTGGACACTCTGTCCAGAGGTAGCTTGGCACGATCAATAACTTGAATGTATTGCAGGACACCAAGGTCTGGTAGTTAAAGTTTTCGTGTGATTGATGATGATAGTTCTAAATACAAATGCAAGTCAAGTATCTTCAAGTTTTCGTCACTCGCGCATGCTCGGAATGCATGCATGCATGCGCTGCTGAGCCCCTTTTGCGCAAGCCTTTTACTCGGCCGTAAACACTTTCTCCGCAGTCTCTACGCTTTGTGCAGCTTTATCTACTTCAACTCTGGTGTGATTGAGATTGTTGATGTCACCAACATGAGTGTCCAGTGTGTTGACTGAATGCTTGAGGTGATCCCTGGACCACAGTGGATGACTGCCTTCAGTTCTATCATTATCTGGACCACTGGTTTGCTATGAACTGCCTTCAGACATCAGTGAGCAGTGATACAACACATACACTACAATGGAAGCAATCTACTTGATTGCAACTTTGCTGACTGAAACTAATGTATACTTATGCTAAAGTGATAACTAGTTATGTATGGTGTAGAGTGGATGGGGATCCACTCGACCACTTATGATGAGAAGGCATGGTTTATATTCATCTTTGCAGTGTCACCTGTGACTCTGTTCCTGCTCTCTCTCCAGAGAGTACCTCCTTTGTCAAGTACTATGGTAGAGGCCTCTACCAATGCTTCCCCCCCCCCCCCCCCCCCTTGCTGAGCCCTGCTTCTCCTGCTCCTGAGACAAGGGGAGCCAGCATCATCTCATTGCTGATAGGGGTTGCCCCACTTCATCCTAATGACAGTGCATGCCCCTCTCCTTCATCTACCTCCTGATTTCAGCACCCATCTTCTTGTGCTGATTTCATTGTTGTGTAAGGCCCCTACCTCATCTGGTGGTGACCTTGACTGTCCTTGCCCCTACTTCCCACTGGAGCTGTCATACAAGCATCCTTGCTACTGATCTCCACAGAACATGTCATATGATCCTGTTTGTTACAGATCCTGGTGGAATTTGTGATACCAGTGTTGCTTGTGCCAATCTAGGTGGGATCTGTCATAGAGCTGTTTCTTCTACAGATCTTGGTGAACTCCACCACAAGTCCCACAATTTGCCCAATCCCTCAATTCCCATGCTCCCTTCATATGACTTGATGGATCTTCCTTCTTCCTGTGCATCCAGGCCCATGACACACCTCTGAGGGTATTTGACGCATGGTGTCACGAATTTCGGAGAACCACCACACTGCTTCTTGGGATGCTTGACTCTTGTTTGTGAGGTCCTGCACCCAGATCATACTAGAGTAAGCATCATGGATGATCAGGACATAGGTGAACTTGGTCACACCATGCAAGGGGGCCATTACATCCATCAAAGCTAGCTCAAGTGGTGCCTTGACTTGTCTAGGGTGAGCTGGCATCCTTGTGGTGGCTTTGCTTTGTATGCAGATGTTGCAGAGTATGCCAGGCTGAGTGGGTGGAGGCAAGGGGATGTCATGGGCAAGGGTGACCATTTGCTTGCATAGGGTCACATCATGACTAGCATGGCCCAGTCTACAATGCCATAGGGCAGCCTTGTTGCAGGTCCAGCATTGTTGCCCAGGGTCCATTGTCTCAGCTGTGAAGGCAAAGTAGATAGCTGGCTCAGGCATGCTGTTGTCCCATATGATCATGGCAACAGCAGGGTAACCATTTCCAGCTGTCAGCACTTGGATAGCATGACCATGTTTGTCTTGGACAGTGGCAAGTTCATTTTTGAAGGTTACTTTACCCTGAGCATGTGTGACTGATTTGGTGCCAATGGAGTTTGTCATGAGATTAGAGACAAGGAGGCAGTTCTGATACATCATCTGCTCCTGCTGCTGCATCTTGGGACTAAAGCTCAAGAGGTTGACCATTCCTCCCATCTTGGTTGCTGAGAGTTGTCTGCCATCAGCAGTGGTGATGCTAACTGCTTGTTCCATGTCTCATCAGCCTTTTCCATAACAAGAGGAATTGACCATGACATAAGATGTGCCTGAGTCAAACACAAACAGTATGAGCCAAGGTGGTAAGTTGATTGGTGCTGACTTGACCTCTGTAAAGAAGGCCAAGACTGGCACTGTATCCTATTCCTCCTGAGAGTTCTCAAGTGGTAATACTATACATGTCTTGGCACAGCCTTTTGGTGGTACCTTGACCTTGCCTTCTTTCCAACAGACATGGGCAGTGTTGTTAGGGCAATGGTTGGCTGCATGGCCAAGCTCACTGCACACCCAACAGTGGATGAGGGTAGTGGCTTGCAACACAACAAGTTCAGACTCCTTGGTCATGTGGTGACAATTTGCATGGGTACTCTCAGCAGCAAGCTTGTAGCACTGGCATAGGACATCAGAGATGCTCTTGACAGTCTGCTCCCTGCCATGAACTTTCTTGTGTAGGATAAACACCGAGTTGAACAGCACAACTTGTTAAGGAGGCTCTGCATGATAATTGAGCTGAGCATTGAGTTGGCATCCTTGAAGGTAGTTGTCTTTTGGTCAAGGATGTTTTGTGTGAAAGGAACAATGGATATCATTGCAAAAAAAAAAAAAAAATTAAAATTGTGTCACCATGCATGTAGAGAGACTACTCTTGGATCAAGAAGGTCATGTTCATCCCATCACATCTTTTCATTGAGGCTTGAGAGTAGCTTTAGATGATGGTTTGTGGATTGTGCTAAGAAGAGGTTCACTCTGGTTTGCATTGCACTTTCAAGTTTGATTTGGCTAACAAATGGACCAAGATTGTGCATTGCTTTGTAGAGGGTTACCAATACATTTGGCCATGATGGACAGGTGGTGAGATGGTCTGCTCCTTGTTGCCTTGTTCCATTGTGTACTTCAGTAGTTGAGCATCTTTTGGGGCTGTAGGAGTAATGTAGGTCTCACTGGTGATTTCTTGGTTGAACTGGTTTTGGAGGATTTTTGGCAGATGTGGCAGAAGATCCTGCATCATTTTGACAAAAGTTGTTATAGTTTGAATAGTTGAGATTAGACATGCTGATGGTGTATTGGCTTGTTGGACTCATAACCCTAATAGAAGTGAAAAAGTTTTGGTCCTGATAACTGGCAATTGGGGAGAGTCTGAGCATGATGTCACTACTACTTTAGGGCAGAAACATGTATACTTGATTGACTAAAGTGAATGTGGTGAGGACCTAGTGTGCTCAGCTTGATATATATACATCTATGAGGTGTGTGCTGAATGTGGGAGTATCCTCCTTCATGACCTAGCTTGACAAGGAGCAGGGCTATGTTGCACCTGATCTCCAGACAGATCTGTTCCATCTGATTGCCAATTGTGTTTGATGTCAGCATGCATCATCATATCGGATCGCTTCCAGTTAAAGATTAATTGAGCAAAAGACACCACTTTGTAGGAGCTATGATCAAGCTCCTTACTGACAGGTGTGTTATGACTGCAATGCTTATTGATTCTTTTGTGGACTATGACTACAAGTGTGAGTATATATAGCTTCATATTGTCTATGAGGGCACCAAGTAGTCTCGAGCAAACTCAGTGCTGGTTTCCCAATGCTTTTCTATTCCTTCTCCTGTATCAACTCTAGACTGTTCTTTCTGCAATACCCCTGAGATGCTTCTCCAACTATGTCATGCTTCTTGTGTTTCTGAGTCACCTTGTGAATAAGCATGATCCAGTGAATGCCATTCTTGGCAATTGCCTTTTGCCCTAGTGAGTTGCTTGCTTCAGTGATTGATTACTCTTGCACACTTTGGTGATTGGAACAGTTAGGGATTCTTTGTTGTATCTTCAACTCTTCCTTTGGCAATTTCTTGCATTTGGCACAGCTTATGTAAGCATTTTGGTGCCTTTGATAAAGGCATCTGTCAAAAAACGCCAAAGGTTTGATATGCACAAGGGATTGTCCGGATTGCATTCCTTCCGATCAGTGGGGGAATTGAAAGAGACAAAGTTGGTTGTTAGATCGTCATCTTCCACATATCCGCACAATCTGAATCGGACAGTTGTCCGCTCAAGAATGCATTCTGGATGATGATGATGATGATGATGATGATGAGCGATAAAGTCGGCTGGGAGATCAATATGGCCTTGGTCGATCACGTTGGCGTGCTTGACCTCCAGCTCCACGTTCCATTCCACCACGATTACCTGGTCGATTGGGATTAGGACACATGTTGGCAAAGTGACCATAGTCTCCGCATTTGAAGCACAAGACTTCGGACAGATCCTTCTTCCAGGGACCACGGCCGCCATCTTGGCCTCCTTGAGGTGGTGCGCCTCCTCCGATTGGACCGCCGCCACCACCGAAAGCGTTGGGAGCTCCTGCTGCTCCACCGAATCCAGCGTTTGCTCTTCTTTGCATGTTGTTGCTGCCGAACGGCATCTGTCCAGACCCGGCTCGGTCAGCTGCACCACGCGCTCCAAAACCACCGGCTGCTCCTGCTGCTCCTGCTGCTCCTGCTGCACCTGCTGCTCCTGTTCCTGCTGCTCCAGCTGCTCCAGCTGCAGGCAGACCGTATCGTCCGGGTGCACCACGTTGCGGTCGTCCGCCTTCTGGATAGTCGTCACGTCCGCCTGCAGAACCAAAGGCTTCTGCTGCTGTCAATGGACGATGTGTCAAGATGGGCGAGTTGGAGGATGATGCGCTTGAGGGCGGTGTGCTCTTGATGCTGTTGCGAGTGATAGGATGAATATGGGGTCAGTTTGGTGGCTCTGCAGCAATCAATCAATCAATCAATCGAATGCATACTTACTGTCCGCGTGGGCATTCGAGGCCTTGCGGGCAGAAGCCAGCCAAGTAGAGTGGACATGCAACACGTCGAATGTGTTTCTTGGGGCAGTTGGGACCTTTGGGGCAAAAGCCTCGGTTGTACTTTTCGCATTCTCGGCGCTTGATGGCCGGGTGGACATGAAGGTAGAGACAATCGTCGCCGCTGTTGCAGAAGCCAAAGGTGGCATAGAAGCGGCATTCGGGTATCCTTCGCATATCGTATTCGTGCAAGTAGTCGCATTGGTCGCCCTTCTTGCAAAGACCTCTAAGCCAATGCTTGCATACGGTTCGCTTGTTGGCATCTCGAAGCGCCGTTGATCCGGCGGGCAGAAAGTTGAGGTGACTCGGCTTGACATGTCTCCTTGGACACGACGCTCCGCGAGCACACTGCAGCCGCTCTGCATAGTCTGGACAGAGCTGTGCGTCATTGTCAAGCTTGACATTCAGGTTGGCCTTGATGTGTGCCTCGAAGGTGAACTCGTTATGCACAAAGTGTGAAGGTAAAGATGTCGAAGCCCCGACACATCTATACTGCGAGATCAGAGGACGATGCGAGCACTGACCGCCTCCACCAGCACCATGATGGTGCATCGCCAGAGGTGTGTTCATCTCGGCCAAAGCAAGGCTACTGAGGATGGTGGATTCGAGGGCAGGGCCATCGAGGATGGTGGCGAGTGAGCAAGCCTGGTGACGAGCTTTCTGAACGCTTTTGGCACTTGACTTTTCTCCCGATTTCTTCTCCCCGATTTCCTCGATCGATCGATTTCCGATTTCCGATTTCCGATTTCCGATTTCCGAGTCAGAAAAAAAATAAAAAAAATAAACTTTTCGGTGCAAAAACAAAAAACAATTTGCCACTCTCGTATGGCTCAGTTCTGTGCAACGTCGACGGGATTTTTAGTCGTCGTCATCATCACCACCACCACCACCACCACCATCACCACCAAACTTTACCCGCTCTTTGCCTTCAAAGTCTAGCGGCTCTCGCATTTCGCCATCAGGTCAGCTTGGTCAAATCGGCTAGGATGAGGATCGAACACTGCTTCTTCTGCTCGGCTCCTTGCTACCCGGGCAAGGGGATCACTTTCGTTCGTAACGATGCCAAGATGTTCAAGTTCTGCAAGTCGAAATGCCACAAGAACTTCAAGTTGAAGCGCAACCCCAGAAAGGTTCGCTGGACAAAGGCTTTCCGCAAGGCCAACGGCAAGGAGATGACTCTCGACTCTACGCTCGAGTTCGAGAAGAAACGCAACGTACCCCTCCGCTACGACCGAGAGCTCATTGCCACCACCCTCAACGCCATGAAGCGCATCCAGGAGATCAGGACTCGTCGCGAGATCGCCTTCTACAAGGCTCGTATCGCCAAAGCTGGCATCAAGGCCAAAGCCAAACAGGCAGATCGTCTTGTTGTCCACCGCAACACCCACCTTCGTGCTTCCATCGAGGCTTCCCGCCCTACTCCTTCTTCCAGCACGCACAAGATCAAGGTCAAGGCTACCTCGGCAAAGTCAAAGTCGGCACTGGTTGCTGCTGGCAACTCGGCTATGACTATGCGCATGGATACCGACTGAAGCTGTCAGCCCCTATCACGCATTGCGCCATTTCTCATTCTCATTCTCATTCTCTTCTCGCATCATCCAGTCACCATTTTTCGCCTGCTCTTGCCAGCAGCTCAGCATGGATCAGCATGCAATCCATGCTTGTAGTATACCACATCTTACACTTGATTCCACATCCCTCGTCTCCCACAGAGCAGCTCCCAGAGCAGTAATGGTCCTCTCTTCCAACGCAAAGCCTTAGGGTTATGTCACTCTTTTCAAAAGTCTTGATCACTCCTCCGATCGTCTGCCAAGCCATAGAAGTTGGTGTTATCCATGCCAGTGTATGCATTGCAGTCTCAGGAGTGATTGCTTGCCCATCCACAGGTTGTCGTCATGTGTCGATTGCCACTCAACCAGCTTCTTGATGAGAGTGATGGCAAACAAGATATAGCTGTGCTCCATCCTATCATTGCTGCCAGGGCAGCAAGCAGCACTCGAGAGGGTAGCACTTGCTGGGCCAGTAGCAGCCTGAGTCGTCAAGCTGTTCGCGTCAGCGTCAGTGTTGACCGTAACTTGAGCAGGCTGAGTGCCGTTGGGTCACACCTCAAACAAGCTTGAGGTGTAGTATGTCATACCACCGGATGCACAGCAAGAACTGGGATCATATGAGGAGAGACCATGTGCAGGAATCGAAGGATTGGGCAAACAAAGCATTTTCTGACAGAGTTCATCGAGATCAGTAGTATCAAGGTCCTACAACAGAATTCATCCAAATTGGTATGAGTGCAATCCTACAGCAAAGTCCATTGGGATCAGTAGTATCATGACCATACAACAGATCTTGCAGAAACTGGTTGGAGGACCACCCCTCCCACAGAGCTCGCAATGGGTCATACAGAGAGGATAGGGGGTTTGCCACCATAACGAGGTAAGGGCTCTACACAACAATGAACTTGGTGCACAAGGATGGGCACCACCATCAGGGGCAAGATGAAAGGCAGTGTGCTTTGCCACTTGGAGGAGGTGGGAGTGACCCCTATCAATGATGAAGGAGCATGAGGCTGTCAGGGGTCTCGCGCCTGAAACCCAGGTCGGTCTGTCGAGATACTCGGTGACTATCAAACTGTGCGACAGCTATTGTCTCGGTATCGGTGACTATCAAGTTGTGCAGTGACAGCAGGTGGCATTCGTTGTATATACTATCGTAGGTTTCGGCTGACCTCTGTGGACACTCCGTTCAGGGGTAGCTCGGCACGATCAATATCAATGTTATGATGACACCAAGGTCTGGTGTGAGTGTTGATGATGATGAGGTTGATGGTGTTGGTGATGAGATTGGTGATGTCGATGGTAATGAGGTTGATGGTGTTGGTGATAAGGTTGGTGGCGTCAACACGAGTGTCCAGTGTGTTGACTTGATGCTTGAAGTGATCCCCGGACCGCAGTGGACTACTGCCTTCGGTTCTATCTATATCCGGACTGCTAACCTGCTATGGGCACCTTCGGACATCAGGTAGTGGTGATACAACACACACACTATGATGAGGAGCAACCTTGATAGATTGCTGCTATGCTGACTGTAACTAATGAGTACTTGTGTTTCTAAAGTATTGACTAGTTGTATGGTGAGTAGAGTGGATGAGGATCCACTCGACCTATTGATGATGAGAAAGCATGGTTATATACCTCTTCTCAGCATTGCCAGCAATGCTGCTCCTGCTCTCTCTCCAGAGAGTACCTTCTTCATCGAGTACTGCTCAGGGGCCTCTCCTGCTTGGCACCCCTGTGCCTCTTGAGTGGTGTCGACTTCCTTCGACACTGCTCCTCCTCCTCATGACCTGGTGTCAACTCCTTCGACACTGCTCCTCTTCCTCAGGACCTGCCTGCTAGTGTCCTATACACTGCTCCTTCTCCTTTGACCGGTGACAGTTCCTTTGACTCTTGTCTCTCGAGCCCCTGAGTGGTAACCATCTGAGCTTGGTCCTCTTCGTGGCTGTGCCTGCTCCTTGAGCTTGGTCCTCCTCGTGGCTGTGCTTGGCCCTCCTTTGCATGTGAGTCCATAGGAGTCCATAGTCTCCATGGAGACTGCACTACGCTCTCTACTGATCTCGACTAGATCTTCGATACCTGTGCTCCTTCCATATGAACCCGTGACTCTCCTGCTTCTTGAGCATCCAGGCCCATGACACTACCCCCCTCTTAAGAGCCGAGCTCCATCAAGGCATGCTCTGGTCTGGTCCATGCTGACTCCTCCTCCTCCTCCTCGACAACATCGCCAACATCATCCTTCCTCCTTCTCTCAACATCATCCTCCTTCCTCTTCCTCTCTCTACTCCTCCTGTTCTCTACTTTGTCTACTCACTCGTCCCCCCTCCGACACCTCATACTCCTGGATGAGGTCGGGACAGTTGAGGTTCTCTACTGGTTCCCATGAAGCAGCTTCTTCTGAGTACCCTCTCCACAACACCTTGTACTCTGTAGTCCCATTGTGTGAACGCTTGTTGATGAGTGCTTCGACTTCGAAGTCGAGGTCCTCATCTGGAAGTGATGGTATGGTGGGCTGTTCAGCATGTTGAGGAAGAGAACTTGTTCTTGCTGGCTCGAGCATGGAGACATGGAACACATCATGCACCCTAAGGTTTGCTGGCAATGTGATTCGATAAGCTCGGCGTCCTACCCTTTCCTGAACTGGGTAGGGTCCTGCAAACCAGGTATCTAACTTGGGTGTGGGTCTCCTTGTCTTCCAGTTTCGACGGTTGATATAGACCATATCACCCACCTTAAACTCGATGTCCTTGTGCTTCCTGTTATACTGGTCTACTGATCTACATTGTGCCTCTCTGATCTGCTCCTGGAGGTACTTGCAATGCTCCTTTCCATCCATGAGGTACTCGAAGCGACCTGGATCATTGACTCCTAGTTGTTGAGGGATGTCAGGATGAGCTTTGGGGTTCCATCCATAGCATGCAAAGAATGGTGAGACACCAATGCTGTTGTGGACCATGTTGTTGTATACAAAGGCTGCAGTGTCCAGCAGGTTGGCCCAGTCATTCTGCTCATAGTTGCAGTACATCCTTAGGTACTGCTCGATGACTTGATTGACCCTCTCTGTCTGACCATCGGTTTGAGGATGGTAAGCCATGCTAAGTGAGTGCTTCACACCCATTTGCTCTGCAAATCCCTTCCATGCTCCTGATATGAACTGCCTGCCTCGGTCTGAGACCATGTGATCTGGGTATCTGAAGAGTCTAACCATGTGTCCATATAGCAACACTGCAGTCTGTTTGGCCATGACTGTCTTATGGGTTGGAGCTAGTATGGCAAACTTGGTTAACCTGTCAACAATGACTAAGATAGAGTCATAGGTCTTGGAGTCATACTTCTTCGATGGTGGTAGTCCTTCAATGAAGTCGAGGGATATGGAGCCCCAGGGCCTGTCTGGTGTTGCTAGTGGCTGTAGCAAACCATATGGACGATGACGAGGAGCTTTGTACCTAGCACATACAGGACAACTTGCTACATAGTCTGCAATCCAAGCTGTCATGTTTGGCCACCAGTAATGTCGTTGAGCTGCCTTGATGGTAGCATCTCTTCCTACATGTCCAGCAGTAATACCATCATGGCATTGGGTCATCACCATGAATCGCAGATGCTCTACAGAGAGAGACTGTCCATCTACCTCTTTGGCACTCCTCGAGTGTCGGTTGTTGGTCCTCCCTGGCATGATCACTTTGGGGATAACCAACCTTCCTCCACTGTACCATAGGTCGTCCTTGAGTTCGAAGGGCTTCTTCCTATGTATCTCCTGTAGCTCTTGGTCTAAGGGCTGGAAGATCTTGACCAGGTCTTTGAGACCTTTTGATGTTATGGACTCCATCGAGAGCATAGGGGCCACTAGGGTCGAGTCATGGTCTGCTGTCTCCTTGAACACTCAAGGAGGCAGTAGTTGCCTCACATTGTGATCCTGCTCTTCACCAGCTGGTTGCATGTCTGTCCTTCTGGTGAGAGCATCGGGTTCACCACCTTTGTCTCCTGGTCGATACTGCAATATGAAGTCGAAGTCTGCTAGTAGTATTGCCCATCGAGCCTGTTGACCTGTGATGCGTCTCTGTGACTTGAAGTACTTGAGGGCTTCATGGTCAGTGAGGATGACCAGTTGGTTTGGTAGTCCAGCTAGCATGTGTCACCACTGAGTGAGGCAGGTGACCACAGCTAGGAGCTCCTTGTCATGGATCTCATAGTTCTTCTCAGCAGAAGACATCTTCCTAGAGTAGAAAGCCACTGGATGCCATCGTCCTTCATGCTCCTGCTTGAGTACTCCTGCTATAGCAAAGTCACTTGCATCAGTCTCCAACCTTGTTGGAAGGTGGTAGTTGAAGTGCTGAAGCACTCCTGCTGATGTGAAGGCCTGGATGAGCTTGTGGAAGGCCTGTTGGGCCTCCTCTGGTAGTTCGAACTTCTTGAACCATTCTATAGGCTTTACCAGTGCTGTCAAGGGCTTGGCTATGCGAGCAAAGTGGGCTATGAACCTTCAATAGAAGTTGGCAAAACCCAGGAACCTCTGGATGTCATGGATTGACTCTGGCATTGGCCACTCCTTGACAGTGCGCACCTTTTCTGGGTCCATCTCTATGCCCGTTGGCTTGATGATGTACCCCAGGAGCTCGACTGTCTTGGTGTGGAACTCACACTTCGACAGCTTAGCAAAGAGCCTGTTGCTCCTTAAGCGAGTGAGGACCTCGGTGACATGCTTCACATGTACCTCCTCAGTGTCACTGAAGATCAGGAAGTCATCTAAGTATACCACTACATATACTCCAATGATGTCTTGGAAGATGTCATTGATGAACGACTGGAAGTGAGCTGGAGCATTGGCTAGGCCAAAGGGCATCACTAAGTACTCATAGAGTCCCAACTGAGTGCCAAAAGCTGTCTTCCATTCATCTCCTTTAGCAATCCGGATGAGGTTGTATGCTGCTCTAAGGTCTAGCTTGGTATAGATCCTTGCCTTCCTGAGTAAGAACAGCTGCTCCTCGATGAGGGGCAATGGTGCCCTGTTCTTGACAGTGATCTCGTTGAGACCTCTGTAGTCCACACAGAGTCTGAGGCCTCCATCCTTCTTTGGTATGAAGAGCACTGGTGATTGTGCCGGGCTCTTCGATGGTCTTATGAACCCCTTCTTGAGGTTCTCATCCAAGTACCTCCTTAACTCGGACATCTCCTTGGGTCCCTTAAGGTATAGGGGCCCTTGAGGTGGCTTCCCTCCTTCTATCAACTCGAGGTGGAGATCATGCTCGGTATGATGGGGCAGCTTGTCTGCTTCCACCTCATCAAACACATCTCGCAGGTGTTGGTATGGCTTTGGTATGTCTGCAGCCGTCACCACCTTATCTACCTCCACCTCCATCTCGACTCCTTTGTCTGCACCTGTAGGTACAAAACCAAAGGCTGGGAGTGATGATGGTGGCTCCTCTAACAGCATGAATCCTATGGGTCCATCTTCTAGAGCTGCTTGTAGTATGCGCTCTGCTGAGACAAACTCGTTACCATGAAGGGTTGGTCTCCTCATGGTTAGGTCCCCTGCTCTTGCTGCTTCAGGGGGTCTCCTAGGGGGTCAGTCCTGCTCCTGAGTCTTGAACTCCAGCTGGCCCATATCCCATTGTATGGTGGGTTTGAGCCTCCGTAGCTCAGTGAACCCCAGGATGAGGTCATAGTCCGCAGTGTCGGCCACTGAAGCTTTGACCACACCCAGATTGTGTGTACCAATAGATACCTGCATGCTCGCAGAACTATTGATGGAGAGTTGGTGCCCGGTGACACCATGGATCGATCTTGTTTTTATGGGTTTTGTGGGTATTTGGTACTTACTAATGAAAGAATCTGAGAATATGGACAAACCAGCACCGGTATCAGCTAGTATCTGAGCAGGATGGTCTTGAACCATTCCAGAGAGCTCCAGTACTGCTTTGCCTCCACTGGTAGAGAAACATACTTGACAATCTTGATATATACAGAGTGATGGCGAGGAGGTTTGTAGAGCAATGCATGCCATCAGTGCATCACCCCACTGACGTTTCCCTCATCATCATCATCATCATGCTCCTCCTCCTCATGGTCGAGGTCCATGGGTTGCTGGTATGAGCTGAGGTCCATGGCCTCGGGGTCACCCGTCTCAGTACTGCCTGTGTGGCCATCTCCTGAGTCAGTGGCCTCCTCAAAGGGGTCTGCTGTGGTGACCATAACCTTTGGTCCCATGGGTCGAGAGCTAAGAGGGTCTACCCTCCTGCTGGGGCAGTCTCTGGCCCAATGGCCAATACCCTTGCATACATGACAGGTGTTGATACCTGATGGAGCAGGGCTTCCTTGCTTCGAGGGTTGGGTGGGTTGATGAGGAAGGGGTCGGTTAGTTGGTCTGTTTAGGTTTTGTGTAGTTGCTTGTGTAGTTGCTTGTGCTGGTGATCGAGCTGGATAAGGTTGAGTGGGTTGACGTATGGGGATCGAACTTTGAATTGGCCGAGACCCAGTTCTTAGTGGAGGTGACGTGGCATTTGGGAGTGAGTGTCTAGCTGAGGACTGCTGTAGTAGCATCCTCTGTCGATCGATCTCCTCGACCTCTCGATACCACTCCCATCTCTTCCCAGGTGGATTCCTCTCGAACTTCTCCTGTATGCTACGAGTGAGACTACCTCTGAAGAGATCAATCACTAGCTCATTGTCATCTAGGTTGACCTGTCCTTCCAAGTCTCTGAACCGCTCTACATGACGTGTGGCGGCACCAGGAGCATCACTTGTGAGTCTGAGAGCCAACAGCTTGTTGTATGCCTCCATCCTAGCATTGCGTGGGTTGAACTGCTCTGACAGTTGCTCTGTGAAGTAGTGCCAATCATTGAACAACCTTCCTTCTCTAGCTCTATCAATACGGAGCTTGGAGGTCCACCACTCTCTTGCTGTCCCTTCCAGTTGAGCTCCCATGTGGTTGATCATCCTAGTCTGCTCATACACCTGGTTGAACTTAAACCATGCTTCGGCTTCTAGAATGAAGGTCTCCATGTCTCGGGGATTGAACTTTGGGAAGGGGGTGGCGATGGGCTTTGACCGGTTAAGCTCTGCCATGATGCTGGTATCCTCCTCGTGGTCCAGGGGGTAAGGGTCCATCCTAGTCCTGCTGTAGGGGTCCAGCTTAGTCTTGACATATCTTGGCCCAGTAGGTGAAGCATACTTCTCGTAGTTGATGTCCTCCTGCTCATCCAGGTTGAATGAGACTGATCGTCTTGGTCGTGGAGCTGGAGTAGGAGTATGTGGGTCTCCTATCATAGACTCATCTCCTCCTCCTGCTTGGTCTTCTGAGTGAGAGAGGTCCATTGTCTCCTCCCTGCTCAGTTGAGCTCGTTGTAATCGTTCCTCTCGATGACCCTGTCTGGTAAGCTCTAGCTGTGCTTCCAATAGAGTGAGTAGCCTATCGAGCTTATTGTTGAGGTCTGGGTCCGTCATGGTGATTGTGAGGAGCTGCTTGAACGATCCACTCTAATGTCAGGGGTCTCGCGCCTGAAACCCAGGTCAGTCTGTCGAGATACTCAGTGACTATCAAACTGTGTGACAGCTATTGTCTCGGTATCGGTGACTATCAAGTTGTGCAGTGACAGCAGGTGGCATTCATTGTATATACTATCGTAGGTTTCGGCTGACCTCTGTGGACACTCCATTCAGGGGTAGCTCGGCACGATCAATACAATGTTATGATGACACCAAGGTCTGGTGTGAGTGTTGATGATGATGAGGTTGATGGTGTGGGTGGTGAGATTGGTGATGTCGATGATAATGAGGTTGATGGTGTTGGTGATAAGGTTGGTGGTGTCAACACGAGTGTCCAGTGTGTTGACTTGATGCTTGAAGTGATCCCTGGACCGCAGTGGACTACTGCCTTCGGTTCTATCTTGATCCGGACCGCTAACCTGCTATGGGTGCCTTCAGACGTCAGGTAGTGGTGATACAACACACACACTACGATGAGGAGCAACCTTGATAGATTGCTGCTATGCTGACTGTAACTAATGAGTACTTATGTTTCTAAAGTATTGACTAGTTGTATGGTGAGTAGAGTGGATGAGGATCCACTCGACCTATTGATGATGAGAAAGCATGGTTATATACCTCTTCTCAGCATCGCCAGCGATGCTGCTCCTGCTCTCTCTCCAGAGAGTACCTTCTTCATCGAGTACTGCTCAGGGGCCTCTCCTGCTTGGCACCCCTGTGCCTCTTGAGCTGTGTCGACTCCTTCGACACTGCTCCTCCTCCTCATGACCTGATGTCAACCCTTCGACACTGCTCCTCCTCCTCATGACCTGGTGTCAACTCCTTCAACACTGCTCCTCCTCCTCATGACCTGGTGTCGACTCCTTCGACACTGCTCCTTCTCCTTTGATCAGTGACAGTTCCTTTGGCTCTTGTCTCTTGAGCCCCTGAGTGGTAACCATCTGCATGCTCCTTGAGCTTGGTCCTCTTCGTGGCTGTGCCTGCTCCTTGAGCTTGGTCCTCCTCGTGGCTGTGCTTGGCCCTCCTTTGCATGTGAGTCCATAGGAGTCCATAGTCTCCATGGAGACTGCACTACGCTCTCTACTGATCTCGACTAGATCTTCGATACCTGTGCTCCTTCCATATGAACCCGTGACTCTCCTGCTTCTTGAGCATCCAGGCCCATGACAGAGGCCTCCTCATCCACAAGGAGCAGGAGAAGCAGTGCTGAGGAACAAGGGACATTGTAAGAGAGTCAGGCACTGTAGGAGGAACCAGAGGAGGCGAGGCAGTGCCAAAGGAGGCCTCCTAGAGTAAGAGCAGTGTCGTGTCAGCGGTCGTGTGCCTGGAACCTGAAAGCTACCAGTTTGGGTGATTCCAACCAGTTTCAGTGAGCACTCTTGAGTATGCACCTGTCAGCCACTTTCACTGAGACTGCTCAAAGGATTGTTTGTTTGACAAGTTTTGGCTAACTGCTGTGAACACTCAGTTCAGTGGTAATGTGGCACAGTCAGTTCCTGCTTGTTGCAGAACACTTAACATATGGGGTGGTAATCCATTGACTCAATATGAGTTTTTGAGGTGTCAATGAGCAAATGGCAAATCAGTGAGAGAAGCCCAGACTGCAGTATGAGTACTGCCTTTGGAGAGATGATTATCTGGACTGCAGTAACTACTGCCTACAGACAACATCAGTGAGGGGTGATATGACACACCTGCTCAGATTAGTAGCAACAGCCTGCAATTGCACTATGTGACAGAACAACTAAGTATACATTACAGTAGAGTATAGTTTAGTTAAGAATAGAGTGGATGCCAGATCCACTCATTCACTATGATGGGAGGGGGGGGGTGTATATATATGTTTGTGCCATGGTGTTGACTCCACCACAGCCCCCCTCCTTGCAGGGGTGTGGCCTCTCCATCCACCCTTGTCTATCTGGCTCCTTCAGCATCCCAGTCCTTCCTGCTCCTACTCCTCTGGCTGAGGCAGCAATCCTCCTATGCTGCCTTCATCATACTCAGGGGTTACTCTCCCACCTCATTGGGTGGCGAGGTCTTCTCATCCCCTATTCCCAGTGGCTGGCCCTACAGTCTTACTGGAGCATCTTCATCTCATTGTGAGACTGATTGATCCACTTCATCTCAGGCCAGTCTTGGTGAATCTTCCCACAACCCACTGTCTCGACCATTCTTGATGAGGTTTCACCCCTAGCTCTTTGTCTGACCATTCTTGATGAGATTGGTCAGAGCCCCTGGGTCTCAACCAGTCCTGCTTCCTATGCACCAAGCTCATTTCAGCAGCTGTGCAGCATGGCTGCTTATGATCTCTGTGCTGGCCCTGTGACATGTCGCAGGCGACACCAAGAGGACATCTATATAAAACATACATTCTCTTTGTTGTAGTGATTGAGTGGATCCTCATCCACTCTACTTTACACATTACTAGATATAACTTCACATAAGTATACTTACTAGTTCCCTCAACAGTGTCATGGGGCCAGAGGTAAGTGCAGGAAGAACTGGACTCATATGAAGGGACCAGGCGCAGCAATCGTGGATCAGGCCAAAGGAGAGTTCCAACAGAGCTCGATGAGAACAGTAGGAGCAAGCGCTCTACCACAGAACTCGCCAGGATCAGCAGAAACAAGGACTTACTACAGAGTTTGTCAGGATCAGTAGTATCAAGCCCATATGACAGATCTCAGGGAGACTGGTTCAAGGATGCATCTATCACTGATCTCACAGCAGGTGGGCAACAGATGAAGAAGGGCTCACCAACCAATGAAGTAGGGGCCCTATAGGACAATAAACATGGTGCAAGAAGGTGGGCATCGTCATCAGGGGAGCATGATGAAAGGAGGGGCACCTTACACTGGGATGAAGTGGGGGTGACCCCTATTAGCAATGAGGAAGCACTGGCTCTCCTTGACCCAGGAGCAGAAGAAGCAGTGCTCGACGAGGAGGAGGCAGTGCTGTAGAGACCGCTGATGCAGTGTCGCAGGTGACAATGTGATAACACCTATATAATAATAGAAGTAAAGAAGTTTCGGTCCC